AGTATCCATATTACTTGGTGCCAGTTTTTCTAAAATTTGGACTAAGTGAGCTTTGTTCCCTGGACGTATTGCTCCGTTTTGGGAAAACGAAGGCGGTGACATTTTTTATATTGAAAAAACTCGCTAAGATTCAAATTTCGAGTCGTACTAACAATAAATAACCATGAAAATAATTGTAAATCTGTTGATAGTGTAGTGTTATTTTTTTTTTGTAGCAACAAAAATTTTGCATCAGACCTTAAAGGGGGTGTGCGCCAAAAATTAAAGTTTTAGTGTAAAAAAATCTAAGAATAGCTGTTCAAACCTCGTTATTCTACGATAAACCATCGCTGAGATATACCGCTTTAAAGTGTGTGTGACGTCACGAGAGCTTCGTCCAGCCGCGCTCCTTATTGTCAATTTGATTGCTCCCGGCACGCGTTAGTGGTTTTCATTTAGATTATTGCAGGTGACACAGGAAAAACATATGTAAATTCAATTTACTCTATTTTCTCGTGCATCGCTTGAGCTTTCGTGACGTCATAGGGTGAGATGCGGTACCTTCATAGAGCCATATCTTCGGCAGAGCTGGGCAAGCTACTTGAAAAAAGTAGCTAGCTACAAGTTACAAGCTACTTTATATTGTAAGTAGCTAAGTTACTTAGTAGCTCAACTACCTCTTAAAAAAAATAGCTAAAATACTGGTAACTTAACTACCTATTCAACTAGTGAAAGCTACCATTTAAGCTACTTTTTCAACAGTTTAACTTATAAAAACAAAAACACGTGCACAATCGCCACCATCAATGTAACTTACCTAATTTAATTTCATTATATCATCATACGAAAATAAAATTTTAATTTTCTCTAGGATCAGCAGTTTTCATATTTTTGACAAAAATCACTAGACATTTATTAAGTTCACTTTGATCACAGTGATCTGCGAATACGAGAATAAAACAGGACACATAGGACATAGGTACAGAGCAGGGGCGTAGCAACAGGGCGTGCAAGTGGTGCCGCGCATAAGGGCCCGGGCCTCGAAGGGGCCCGGCGTGTCCTGCAGTTTTTGGACACAACATTCAAGGAAATAAAAAAAAATCAGATTGCACCCGCCCCAGCAATCATTTTTGGCTTTGGCGATTTGTAATCAAACATAAAACTGTAATATCGATCTCTATAGATTTTTTTTCAGCCAGCCGTCCGAGTCCCAGTACTTGTGTCAATATTGTCAATTGTCATTCTCAATCGTGGAAATCCATGAGTGAATCCGAATCCCTTGATTCCGCTGTTGGATGTGGGAATTGTAGGACTTTTTCCATGAAAACAGTAAATCTATTACGTCAGGAATCCGGAAAGTACCGTTTTTTTGGACGAGTAGACAAAATTCCAGAATCCAAGGCGAGGCGTAGTCTGGAATGTTTGTCGCCTACGAATTTGCCCATGCGCTATTATGTATATAACCCCCCCCCCAATGAATTTGTTATTTTAATTCAATTACCGACAGCTCTGACTGTATGCAAAATAAGCTTACGCCAAATAAAAACAAGAGTCAATACTGTCTTTTGGTCCAAATCATTAGGGACCTTCCGATGTTCATACACTGATAAAATTCATTAAGGAATATTCAAATAAATGGTGTATTTGGCAAAGCCTTATTCCTACGGAATAATTTTTATTTGCGTTAAACAAAATATGTTTGAAAAAGAACATTTCTTCATTTTTTAATTGTTTATTCTCCATAGGTGATTTATTTGTTTTATAATATGTTAGGCGAAACAAATATTTGTTCTCAAATAATACTAAAATGGGAGTTCGGTCCCCAAATACCCAGTTATTTGGAACAAACAATTTTTTTACTTGACAAAATTATTCGGAGGAGCTCCCCACCTGGAGCATCCAGACATCGGGCGAACAAACGGCAGTTGCCATAGTTTTACATTTTGTGCAAGAGCTGTTAGAAGTGGAGTACTACATTTTATGTCGGGCGGGCCCTGTGTGGTGAAAAAGGTATTAAGTATAAACAGGCCACTATTATACCTAGACTAGAATGGATGTCAAAGGACTGCTGGTGCAGTGGAATCTTATTTGGAGGTAAGTTTTAAATTATTCATTTTTTCATAAATAGAAACCTGCTATTGCTTATTTTGCTATATCTTTATGTTTTCTTAATTACTAATTTGAATAACCGAGTTTTTAATACAAAAGTCCAAATTCAATATTATTCTAAATAAATACCGAGTGTTTCAATAACGCACGCACGGCCATTACTTTTTTGAAAATATAGCCTACTTTATAAACAACTCTTAACGACGCCATGCTAATAATATTAGATACATTTGTAGAACATCCCAACTAATGTTTGTTTCCAATAAATACCCATTTATTTCTTATTACCAATCTCTCTGGATTTGCTCCCATAAGGAACAATATATAGTTTTTTATTTATTTTATTTTTTTAAATTTTTTAGCGAACAAAATTGATGATATCGCCATTCTGCATCATTTGGGCAGTGTTTGCTCACTGGAAATGTATTGGGCGATAAGATTAGACTGCGTCAAAAACTCGAACAGTTGAAAAAGGTTAGTGAAGAATAATTATTATAGGATAGGTGTTAGGATGGGTGGGAAAAGTGTTATATAACTACATAGTTACTGCATAGTTATTAGAGTGATTTTTGTTACCATGAGAGTTTATATTTTAGTTTTTCATTATATTTTTGAGTTTATCTTAGGTACTTATATTTAGTCGAGCCGTTCTCAAATACATCCTTTTTGTATTGAATCTTTCAAATTTAAAATAAACTTATTATTTTTTTATTTGCCAGCCAAATCCTCTTATCCCAAAGTTTGTATGTACAATTCGTCGAGGAATGAAAAGACACTTATTTAGTCTTAAGGTTTATATACTATTTTATGTACTTCAGGAACTAAAAGTATACTTTTAGTACCTATTTTCAGGGACTAAAGTGACACTTCAAATTCCTAGAGATTTGAAATTATTTTAATTCCTAAAGATCCGCAATATTCAGATCTTTAAGGATTAAAATCATTTTAAATCCCTAGGGATTTAAAGTGCCACTTCAGTCCCTGAAAATAGGGACTAAAAGTATACTTTCGGTCCCTGAAGTACATAGAGGAATATTAATTTCAAACATATAATATATTCATGAGAAATAAGTGAATGGTCATCTCAAATGCGCAACATATTTCAACCAAATACAGCGATATTCAGTGTGAATAAACTGAGAAATCCTTCTAAATAAATCTGAATTCCGCTTGAACAAATTGATTATTTAGCCCGAATAAATAATTTTTCCATCAAACAAACCCTCTTCTAAACTGGTAAACAAGTGAGGTGACATATTCAAATAAATATTTGTTCAGACAATATAGAACAAATATTTATTTGAGTTCACTCCAATTTTATTTGAGTCAAATGATCTTTTTTATCAGTGTATGGTGAAGCCGGTGGAGGGGGCCCGCTGTAGTTTTTGTACCAGGGCCCGGATTTGACTTGCTACGTCCCTGGTACAGAAATAAGTTGAAACTAGTCTAAACAAGGCAGGCTAAGATTTTTCCGAAAAAATGATAATTGTAGCTTGAGCTTAAGTAGCTTGTTTTAGTAGCTAGCTACTTTTCACAGTAGCTAGCTACTTTTCACAGTAGCTTATGAATACATGGGACACATTACCAAAAGCTACAGCTACAAGCTACTTTTTTTTAAAAGTAGCTTGAATAAATTTTTAGCTACCAAAAAAGTAGCTAAGCTAGTAGCTTAACTACTTGGTAGCTAGCTACTGCCCAGCTCTGATCTTCGGTATTATTTCTCATAGAGGGGTGCGGTTTTCACTGTTATTCTTAGATTTTTTTTCTCTTTTTTTTTGAGATGAAGTTGTTTTTTGGCGCACACCCCCTTTAAGTAGGTGATCAAACAATAATTTTGTCTTTGAAACTAAGCGGTTAGTTACAAACTCTTGGAACATAGAAACTCCTTTTTCTTCTATGTTGTCTTGCCTAGAGTGGTCTAGGGAAATAAGATCATTGATTTGAAATTTGAAGGGGTTTTCTGCTTCCAGAAAGCTCTCTTTTAACAAAACACAGCTTTGCACAAAATTTCTTTGTGCACAGATAAATAATTTCTTTGAACAAATTCCCACAGCACCACCCTTAGCCTTAATGCGTGCATTATTCTGTTCATGAGCATGATCTATACCCAAACCACAGAATGATTTGGTTGTTTTATGAACGACAAAATTACCTACAAAATATTATTTGAAAGAATAATATAAAATAAGTTCTAACAAAAACCCTAATCACCGGATTTAAATTATTGTAATACGTCAGGAGCATTTATGTTCAGTTCTTCTAAATCTTTCAGATGAATAGATAGGTAACCAACGTAGTAAAGTGCATACTTAAATGCAAAAAATCAAGGAATCATATTATGGATAGACTCTTTGAAAAGGTCGTAAGCTCTACTATGCACAGAGTGAACAAAATTTAGAAGCAGTATTTGCATATATAGTATCATTATCCAAAATTCAAATGTTGGCGAGGTTCTTTCCAGTTTAGTTATCCGTTCTTTTAGCGATAACTCTTCGTTTGGATTTTCTTCTTCATATGCATCTTTTTAAAAGAGAATGTAATACAACAGCAGTTATTTGGTGTATTGCTCTAGCCTTCGCAATGTGAGTAACCTACGAAAAGAATTAGTAATTTTGAAACGTGTAGGTCAAGCTATTTTAGCCCTTAATTAACCTTAGTCATTGCTTCTGCTGATCCTTCGGGTGTTACTCCATATAATTTGCTATTATTCTTCTCCATCCGCTGCCCTCAAGAAATTGACCAATCACCCGCAAAAATGCTTGTTCTATGTGAAAAGGACCCAATAAAACGACAAAACTTTGTTCGCCGTTCTCTAAGGACCAATTTCATTGAATTATTTTACAAAGGGCATAAAGTGTTGGTCAACACACATGCCGGAAGTCTGATTAGTATTCAAATAGTTGGTTATTTGTTTAACCAGGTTTAATCATATCAGGGAAAGTTAACTTTTCGTGAAAGAGAGGAGGTAGAGCATTTAAGGAGGTGGTAGGTTTTAAAAACGCTCGCTGTTTCTTAGCGTGAAATGCTGACCAGGAAGTATTTGGATCAACATCATCAATCGAATCTGATAAAATCGTATGAACGTGATTTAACCAAGAAGTTTCCATATGCCATATTTCTCTAAAAGAACCTATAAGAAGCATTAAACACTATGACTTAGCTAGGTTTTTGAAAACAGTTACCTAATTTGATCAACTCATCACCAATATCAGCAGAGCATGCTGGACTCGATGGATGTTTATCGGACAAAATACATTCGGGGACCTGTGCATAGAAATGTGGCAGTTCTGGAACTGATCGAACCCCACGGGAAAATACATCTAAAAGTGAGGTTTCATTTGACTGATTTTCTTCATAATCAGTATCTAGTCTTAGCTGCAAAATTGGGATTCCATGAAATTCTCCCGTGCTGGTACTGCTGGAAGTTTTATGATCTATGTCCAAAGCAGACACCGTGAAAAGGCCATGTTCTAGATTAGGAAGACATAGTATCTGCTTTTCTCTAGACCTTTCTATGACTCATCTGCATAATTGAGATGTTATTTCCAAGATTCTATCATTTGAACAACCTATGCCCATTTCATGTAGTTCATTTATACGAGCTTTGTCTCTACCTTTTTCATAACAAGACAGCGATAAATATAACGGAAGTGGTGGTTCATGCTCTCTATTATTTCCTATATAGTCGCTTTTTACTTTACGCTTACGATAATTCATCATTATTAGCTGACATATGGTCGTAGCAGATTGAGATGCACCACAATCGGACCCAACGGAACATCCAAAAAGAAGGATATTGATTGATGCAAGAAGGGGTTCTGGTATACACTTCTCTTCGCAGTTTTTTTCAAAATTTCCAGTAAATATTACCTTTTCTATGGATATTGGACGTGAGCAATCTTTTTGCAAATCCATGAAAGCTCAAAGCCTTTTCGTCCTAGTCTTCTTCATTCAGTTCATTTCCAATATTAGCATCCACTGGCAACAGAAGGTATATCTCGTCCAGATTTTTCAGCTTTAAGCTCTGGGAAATGAGCAAGAATCTTTTGTCGAAATCTTGTTCGGTGCTCCAGTACCAATTCTTTCTTCACTTAAGAGTTTTGATAATCTGGTATGGTACATTTTGAGCAGCCCTGACATTTTTAATACAATCTGTTTTGATGTGTTCTATTTTTCTTGGATATAAAGCAAAAGATCTGCGAAAGCAATGCCTTCGCACATTATATGATTTTTATCAGTGCTCTTAGTGTAGGTACATGTTTTTTTTGGATTTATTAAATAATTTTACCAGACAACGGAGGTGATATTTAGCTTCTTATGCTACTAAATCACCTTGAGATAGAAATCCTAGCAAATACGCATCTTTCAGTAATTCTGCACACAATTTTACATTTTCGTATATCTTGTCTGTCTCGCAATGTCGTAGAGGATTCTTATTGCTATAAGATGTACTTAATAAAACAGGACCTATGCCACACAGCATGTCTTTGGATTAAATTAGCTTGTATTCCATCTCCTTCATCCAAAATTGTTACAGAATAGCCCGACAGAAAAATGTAATTACCTACATTTTTTTAGTTTTTTCAAGTTTTCACCAACAGAAGTGTAAGTTACGGTCCGAAGGGATTTTATTGGATTTTTAGCTAGGCATACCAATTGGCCATGGTTCTCGATGTACTGACAAATACAGCAAAGGTCCCATTTAAAAAAAAAAATCTCAAAATATTCAAGGCTGGTTGTCCCACAATTTGTCGTTTTTCGATGAAAATTGTCGTGAGCCGCTAGGACTATTTAGTTGAGAACTGAGAATCACATCAGTTTATCTTGTGCGATTTAGAAACCCGTTCCGAATGCAATGAAGGAATAAATTAGATTATTCGAATGTGTCAAATACAGTTGTTTCTGGAGGAATAATCATAATCAACTTGATCTGTACAGTGTACTGCACGTTCACACGAGCGTCTATGTTCCGAGCAGGGAAATGTAATCCGAGTGATTCAATATTGATTTGACATTTGAAGTCAACAAATTTGACATACCTATGCCGTAAATTATTGTGGCAGCCTTTTATTTTTCTGAGAATGGATGAAAAAACCACTGATTAAGTTGTGAAAGGAAATATTGCAATCCTTTGAAGATAAAATGTATGCCATTCGACACCGAAGGTCTTTTTGTACTTCGTTCGATTGACGGCCTTTGCTTCGCGTTGGCCTTCAAACCTTGAGCTCAGCACAAAAAGACGCACTTCTGGGACTTATGACATAAATAACTATTTTATAATTGATTATTAGTTTACTTTGTACAAACAAACATCTGCTATACAAAGTAATATAGGTCTGGCAACATCGGAATATTTGTAAACACCCGAATCTCAGCAAACAGTGATTAAATCAGGTAAATACTAGGTGGATGATTATGTATAAGCCTGTCAAAAATTTGGCAGGTGCAGCAGAATTCGGAATGTGTTAAAATAAAGGATGGGTGTACATATTTTTAACGCGCGAGGCGATGATGCTGATGCGTAGCAAAGATAAAGGGTCTTACCTCGAGAAATCGGCCCCAAACCGCTCGTTAAAGGTGATGAAAGCCTTTAATTTGCTCGGATTGGTTTTGGCGTAATTTCGGGCGTTATCACAAATAAACAAAAGCGAAAGATAATGGTTGGTAAATATTGGTTTTCAGGCGCGAAAGGAGCCGTGTCGGGTGGTACCTGGCGGGCTAAAACGAGCAAAACTTTAATTTGAAATTCAAATAGAAATTCTTGGAATGAACACCTTTGGAGCAAATTATTAACTATCAAAAACGTGGTAGTATTTGTCAGATAAGGATGTTAGTAGAGGGATCTTGAGTGGGTATCGTGCAGTTCGAAGTCACTGAAAGGTAAAAAGCTACGACCTATGGCAAATAACTAGTTACCCTCCGAGACATTATTATCCACCAGTCGTACAAAAATAATCCCGTGAAGAGGGTATAGATGTACGGGATTTAATTTGAAAAAATATTGTCACGGCTCTGGGGTGCGTGACAGAAATCTTGGGTCCGTTTATTCAAAATCAAAGCCCTTTTGAACAACAATAATTTATTCCACGTTACTATACACTCTGACACGAATTACTTCACTAATTAACCCAAACAACTAAAATCTTTACAACTCTCAACAATAATCACTATCTAAATCATATCACAGTCAGTCTTAAACTGAAAACTACTAACTAATACTGGTCTTTATATATCCGTTATCTATTCTTGCAGAATCCAGGATAAGAGCGATAGTCTCTTTGCCCGAATAAGGCAGTATTTTTTTTTATATGGGAAGCTCCACCATACAGTTGGAAGATATTTCAACTCTGGAACCACTGGATATCCTAAAATTCCTCAAGAACTTAGGACTAGAGGGTTGCTTTGATCAGAAAGCCCTGACCTAGCAGCAGAAGGAGGGGTCAATAGATCTACCAGGTCGCGGTGCAACTGACACCTGCAACACATACAATATACAACAAACAACAAGGCAGTATTTTCTAGATTTCAACTTAGATTCTGTACACCATGGCGAAACCGCACCGCTACACTGCCCTACTCTTAAATTTGATCGTCCCGATCAATTTTACGCCCATGATATTTCGTCAATCGGCGACACTCCCTTCTTTCTTGAATTGGCTTTCAAGTCATATCTGGTATTCATTCGATCACTGGCAAGCTGAATATGCTCCCGAGCACAATCATGTATCCCCAGAAGTCGTGCCCTTACTTCGTCGACTCAATCTCGAATTTCTTTTGGTTCTTCTTCAGGCATTCCAAACATCAGATCGCAAGGTAACCTGAGTTCCCTTCCAAAAACGATTCTATCTGGACTTTCACCTGTTGACTCGTGAATAGCTGCTCTGTAAGCCACTAAAAACATTTGCCTCTAAATGTTTGTCCCAATCTCGCTGGTTCTTTGGGACCACTTTTGTCAGGTGTTCCTGTATGGTCTTATTAAATCGTTCTACCATGCCATCAGACTGTGGATGTAACGGTGTGGTCCTTGTCTTACGAATGCCCATGATCTCACAAATTTTCTTAGAGATGGCAGATTCGAAATTTCGTTCCGATCTGAATGCAACTCTAGTGGCACATCATGACGACTGAAAACTTCGTTCACTAGTAACTGGGCAATAGTGATGGCTTCTTGATTGGGAATAGCGAAAACTTCTGGCCATTTACTAAAGTATAATCCATGATACCCAAGATGTATTTGTTACCACGCTCTGACTCAGGGAACGGTCCGGTAACATCTATCGCTATTCTTTCAAATGTGAGACCGACGTTGTACTGTTTCATGGGCCCCCTAGATCTTAGTTTAGGGCCTTTACTGGTAGCACAGATGTCGCATTCTCGGCACCAGTTTTTAACGTCTTCATGATAGTGAACCCAGTAAAAAAGTTCCTGAATTTTGTCCAAAGTCTTGTTAACTCCTAAATGTGCCCCTGAAGTTCCGTCATGTATTTATTTCAATACATCTTCTACTCGATCTTTTGGAATATCCAGTTGGCTCTCAGTGGATTTCCCATCGGTACTTTCCCAAACTCTTTCAGGTAAACCATTTTCTACGGCCAGAGAGTTCCACTGAGCCCACAACGCCATGTAAATAAAACTCTTGTTCGACACTTCCCTCCATTCTGACCTACATTCAATATTTTCTTTAAGATGTAGAATTTGCCCGATCTCCTGGTTTGCTTCTTGATCTGCTCTCATTTGTTTGGTAGTCTATTTATCATCGACGATAAGACCCGTCCTTCTACAGCCAGACCAGTGTTTTTCTCATGCATATCGATTCTTTGAAAATGCTTGCAGTCTTCTTTGCATGGCCGTCTAGACAGAGTGTCAGCATTTTTATGCAGGTTTCCAGGTCGATGTTTAATTTAGAAATCGTATTGCTGCAATTTCACAATCCATCTAGCAAGCTGTCCGTCAGGAGTTTTCATTTCTAAAAGCCATTTTAGAGCTGCGTGATCCGTTCGAATCAGAAACTTACGTCCGTAGAGATAATTATGGAAATGGTCGTCTGCTTTTACTATGACAAGCAACTCTCTTCTGGTGACACAATTATTTCGTTCTATCGTATCAAAGGTTCTGCTATAATAATCTACGACATGCTCTTGTAAATTTTGGATTTGTGAGAGGACATCTCCAATACTGGTGCGGCTTGCATCTATGTCCAAAATTAACATGCCTTCTTGATCAGGATAGGACAACACTAGGCTTTTACAAATTGCTCCTTTTAATTTTCTAAAAGCGGAATCTCATTCTTGGGTCCAATGGAGTGTTGCAGAGCAGCTATATTAATGAATGAATGAAGCAGAGCAGCTATATCAGCAAATCCTTCTACAAATTTT